TGAAAATGACTTCAAAGCTCCCCTGGGTGTGCTTCATACTCGCTGCATTAATACCTTCAATTACATTTTCTCTTGAACTTGACCAGGAAAAGGTTCTTCTGGTTTCATTTGATGGATTCCGTTGGGATTACTTATATAGAGTTCCAACACCCCATTTTCATTATGTTATGAAATATGGTGTTCGTGTGAAGCAAGTTACTAACATTTTCATTACAAAGACCTACCCTAACCATTATACTTTGGTAACTGGCCTCTTTGCAGAGAATCATGGGATTGTTGCCAATGACATGTTTGATCCTATTCTGAACAAATCTTTCTCCTTGGATAACATGAATATTTACAATTCTGAGTTTTGGGAAGAAGCAACACCAATATGGATCACAAATCAGAGGACAGGACATACTAGTGGGGCGGCCATGTGGCCTGGAACAGATGTAGAAATACATAAGAGCTTTCCTACTCACTACATGCCTTACAATGAGTCAATTTCATTTGAAGATAGAGTTGCCAAAATTATTGAATGGTTTACATCAGAGGAGCCCATAAATCTTGGTCTTCTCTATTGGGAAGAGCCTGACGACACGGGCCACAATTTGGGGCCTGACAGCCCGCTCATGGGGCCTGTCATTGCAGATGTTGACAAGAAGTTAGGGTATCTCATACAGATGCTGAAGAAAGCAGCGGTGTGGGACCGTCTGAACCTAATCATCACAAGTGACCATGGAATGAGCCAGTGTTCTGAGGGAAGGGTGATAGAACTAGACCAGTATCTGGCTAAAGACCACTACAGCCTGATAGACCAGTCTCCAGTAGCAGCTATCTTGCCAAAGGAAGGTAAGTTGGCCTGAGCGGTGATCTGTGGCCTGGTCTGCATGTGCCCAGTTGGACACTGAACTAATCTGGTACTTTGAAAATGACTTCAGAACTCTGGGTATAAATACTTGCTGCATTAATACCTCCAATTTTTGTTTCTGTGTCTTTAAGATACGCTTGCCTGTGTCACAGTAATCTAGGATTTAATCCTTGAACTCTGAAACAGCAAGATCTCTTCTCAGAGTCTAATTTTTTACTTTTTCCAAAAATTGTCAAGTCAATGCTCTTTATATATTTGTGTCAGATGGACATAACCGTTTTGTAACCACTGAATATGATGAAAGCTACAGCCTGCCTTCTCAGAAAAATTGAGATGGAAAGATAGATACAGAATATGCATGTAATTACAGTGATTTCGTGGAAGCCCTAACGCTTCCTTTAGATCCTTTTATAGGACCTTCTTGTAGGGAAGCAGTGCAATGTGTAGAAGGGAGAAAGCTTTGGTCGGCCTGAGATTATTTTTCTTATCTAAAGGAGGGCGAAGTGATAACAGTACCTTGAACTTTTCTACAAACCTCTTCTGGAGTGCTTCGAACAGTTATCCTGTCACCTTGTTACTATTTCTACTTTAATGGTGAACTAGCTCAAAAGGCTTAACATCCCCATCACAGTGTAAGTGCAGAGTGAGACTTAATCAGGCCTGCTCTCCTGACTTCTGTTTTAATCACATCCTAGATTAGTCTAGGTATCAAATGAGACAACAGATTATAAAAAGCTGAATACCTCACAAATGAGAATGAAATGCCTCACGGGGATTAAGAGGATCATAGGAAATGAGATTAAAATATGCATATGCACCTACACACAAACTTCTCAACAAATTCAATATAAAATAGCAAGTTTTTTGGTGTTGAAGAAAATCACATTCACCCTCCAGTTTTTATAAAATTGGAATGTGTTTCCTTATTGGGGTGTGAGATGCAGGGAGGAAGCCTCACAAATGGATCTGAACAATAAGAGAATTAAAGATAGTGCCCAGGTTTATTCTATGAATTTACAGGGAGTACTTGTGGAATACCTCCAGGGTTTTAAAGAACTTTTCCATCATAGAAGCAGTTTTCCACCACCAGTCTGCCCTTTCCCAACCCTCAGCCTCCAGTCACCATGCTTGCTATTTTTTTTTAATGAAAGTACAGTTGATACACAACATTATATTAATTCCAGATGTACAACGTACTGATTCTACATATATATACATTACAAAATGGTTACCATGTAAGTGTAGTTACCATCTGTCAACATACAAAGGTATTCCAGTGTTAACTGACCATCCCTATGCTCTACTTTGATTCTCATGACTCATTGGAAGTCTGTACCTCTGTCCTCTTCACCTGTATCACCCATTCCCCTGTGGCAATCACCAGTTCTCTGTTTATATGAGTCTGTTTCTGGATTTTTGTTTGTTCGTGTGTGTTGCTTTTTGTTTTTAATTCCACATGTAAGTAAACTCTTGGTATTTTTCTCTGACTTATTTCGCTGAGCATAACACCATGTAAGTCCACCCGTGTTGTTGAGAATGGCAAGATTTCATTTTTGTATGGCTGCATAACCATATTTTCTTGTCTACAGATTCTCTGTCTACAGTCATCACTGCCAGAACTTAGCTCTATTTCTGTCTGGGTATTGCAGTGCCGTTGGCATTTCACTTAGTGTTACCAGGTAGTACGTGTGTGTGTGTCTAAATCTTCAAATTAGAGACTCAAGATTACTGATTATATGTCTTCTAATTCTGTAAAGTCATTTTACTTAAAATGGAAGACTAATTATTTGCTTCCCCATCAGGATTCTTTTCCTTAAAGGGGTGGGACTTCTGAAGTGTCTGTATTTCATTATGCTCAGCTTGCTGGCTTTTTATTGCAGTGGAGTCTGCTGTGAAGAAATCTTGACTTCTGTCGCCATGGCTGTTTCTCTGATTGTAACAGTGTGCTAGTTCCGAATGCCTCTCCCTTCTCTTTTAGGGAAGTTTGATGAAGTCTATGAAGCACTAGCTCATGCGCATCCTAATCTTACTGTTTACAAAAAAGAAGAGATTCCAGAACAATGGCATTATAAATACAACAGGAGAGTTCAGCCAATCATAGCAGTGGCTGATGAAGGATGGCACATTGTGCAGAATAAGTCAGATGGCTTTCTGTGTGAGTATGTTACAGTATTTCTGCATCATTGTTTGCTAAAGTGGAGGCTGTGGATAATATAGCAGTTTATTTACTGATTGAGTAAGTAGCTAGTGTCATACATGAATAGCAAAATAAAGATCCTTGGAGCTTTAAAAGACGTTACCTGAAAGTGAAATATTTACTTCTCTTGAAGTCATCAGACTAAAGATATGCACAGTGACTTATACTGCTAATTATAACCATTCTGTTCCTGAGAAATTACCATAACTGAAATGTATAAATTGAATTATATGCATACATCAGAGATACTGTGGGTTCAGTTCCAGACCACTGCCATAAAGCAAATAACACAGTAAAGGGAGTTGAATGAAGTTTTGGTTTCCTAGCACATCTCAAAGTTAGGCTTACACCATACTGTGCTCTGCTAAGTGTGCAGCAGCGTTATGTCTAAAAACTGCACACACCTTAAGGATACTTTATTGCTAAAAATGTTTACCATCACCTGTGCTTTCAGCAAGTAGAGTCACTGATCACAGATCACCATAACAAATGTAATAATAATGAAGCTTTAAATATTGCAAGAGTTACCAAAATGTGACAGACACAAAGTGAGCAAATGCCATTGGAAAAATGGTGCCAGTTGATTTGCTCAGTACAGGGTTACCACAAACTGTCAGTTGGAAAAAACACAGTATCTGCCAAGAAGCACAGCAAGACAAAGCACAGTACAATGAGGTATGCCTGTGTAGTCTGCATCTCTTTTATGTTCTGGTTTCATGATAATTTAATTTCTGTCTTTATTTGCAATTGCTAGCTATCTGGTTTCTTTTGTCCTTCTGGCTCTACCAGATATAGGCCAGCTTTGTTCTACAGCTTGGAACATTTCTAAAAGGTCATGCATATGGCATGGATGACAATTTATCAAGACACATTTTTGCTAATAACCTGGTGATAGAATTGGAACTATTTCCACTGAAAAAATGGAGAATATAATGGAAATCCCATTTAAAATTCAAACATGCAATATAAGGTGCTTTCTGCAATCCTTACTGTATAATTTTCTCTTCCTGTAGATCTTTTAACTGGTCAGTCAAATAGAATACCACAGGATTTTACTCCTCTTTGCTGTGTGCATTTGCATATTTGCTTTCAAACTCCCTGACTTTCCTGCTGCCAGACTCCCTGCTCTGCTTTGTATTGCCAGGTGCTGAGCCCTGCAGACTGTTTGCAAACTGGCTTCTGATTAGGTTTAGCCAATAGAAGACCCTGGCTGAAGCTTTAGTTTGTGGGAAGCCAGTGTCTTTGTACCACAGGCTCTCTGCCTTGAGCTGTCTCTCTAACGGTAACGTCATTTCCGCTGTGATCCCAGCTCCCTCTGAACAACTGTTTGTATAGCCTCAGCTCCTACTACGTAGGCGTGGCCTTTGGGCTTTGGTAACATGGTCTTTTCCTTCTGTCCCTCCAGTCGTGGGGGCCGTAGGAGGTTCCTACTGTTGCACAGTCACTGAGTAATGGCGCCATCTCATACTTGCTTTGCAGCTCTTGAGCACTTACCAACTAGTCCCTATACGAAATTCCATCCATTGTACTATCCAGCATGGGTTCTGCTTTCCTGGTTGATACAAATATTAACATACATTAGCGATCAGTTCACTGAGAGTTGTTCCTACAGTTATTCGAATGTTGAAGGAACTACATTATGTCAATACTATCTAGAAATGCTTTGTTAGGCACTGGTCCACAATATACATAAGGTGTATAAAAATGTCCCTTTAGGTAGAATTGGGTTCCTGTCATGTTTATTGATGGGAAAAAAGCCATCATCTGACAGTGACATTGCTGCAGTGCATGTGGATCATAGTGGCAGATGTGTGTAAGTACATAGTTTCTGATTCTTGTAACAGGTTTTACATATAGATAATGATCTGCAAAGCCAGAGTAGCTGTTTTAAGGAAGCCTTTAAAAATAGTTTCTTTGGCTATGAGAAACTCTTACTCATCTGTGTTCAGATTTTCATGTCTTGTCCATGTAGCTCTTAATTAGAAGGGCTGCTCAAAAAAGGCCTGCTATCTCTGCAGAGATTTGTACTTTACAGTTAACATAAATTTAAGGGGCCCTTGAAATTTTGGTTTGGTGAACACAATTACATGATAGATTGTTGTACCTATTTTTGAGAGAAACCCCAATGCTTCTGTTTATTGGGTGTCAGGATGGCCGAGTGGTCTAAGGCACCAGAAGCTCCACTTCCTCTATTTGTGTTATGTCATGTTCAGCATAATTATTTATTCATCAAATATATGAAATAATTATTTATTAAACAAATAATTCTTGGGCACTACAGTCCTCCTAGGCCTGAGTTCCAAAAGAGAAATTAAAGCCCAATGTGCATATGCAATGGTTCTCAGAATGTGTTCCCAGGACCAGCAGTATCCAGATCACCTGGGAACTTGTTAAAAATGCAGATTCTTGTGCCCAACCCAGAGCTACTGAATTAGAAACTATAAGGGTTGAGCCCAGCAATCTATGTTTTCACGTGAGTCTACCCAGGGTTTTCTGCACTGCAGTTTGGAAACCACCGCTCTTAGGCATCCATTATTAAATATCTCCTGGATCAAACATTTATAGTAGGAACCATCACCACAAAACAAAGTCTGTATGTGGGAGAAAGGTTTTGTAAGTCATAATGAGTTTGTTTCAAATCTGCTTTCCTACTCGGAAGTGTGATATGAGAGAATGACCTTCATGACTGAGTCTAGATCCCAGCTTAGAGAAGTGAACAATCATCAGTCAATTACAGATTGTAAAATGGCATATTGCCCAGTGTTACTCTCAGTTAATTAACAGGAATGGCAGGGTGCCCTATCAGATCATTACTACTGATTCCATAAATCCAGCACTATTTTTTTTTTAAATAAACTCAAAAGAATCATGGCATTTAGAATGACTTGTTAAGATGGGTTTTGCCAGGCAGATTTGGAATTTGAAAAGATGACTAAGGGTCAGTTCATGACTTTCAGAGGAATTGAGGATTTTCTTTGTTGCAGTGTTTGGGTTCCCATTGCATGTTTCCCTGTAGCAAGTGTAGGTGGTACAGGCTGATCGGCTGGTCATTGTCCTCACACGTTCCAGGTAAAGCCTGTCAGTGTCTTAGGTTGCCATATCCACAGTGGCTCCTTACCTTGTATGTACCCTGATACTATGCTAGGCATACATGCCTTTAAAATGCAGCTTTTATTTTGCAGGCATTTTCCTCCTTCAGTTTTGTATCACTTAATAAGACTCCTCAAGTTTTTACTTTATTTCTAGCCACACTAAAGCACACAGTGCTGATAGATCTTGATCTGAACCAGACAAGCTTTTACCCACAAATCCTGACCTTCATTTGTCCTTAGTGGATGGTAGCTGTTACTAGAGGTTTTGTTTTTGTGGAATCTTTGGTTTTCATTACTGTTTTTACCCTTTTACTGGTAATTATGAATTTATTATCTTCATGAGTAAAAGCACCTTTATCTCTACCTTTAGAACAGTAATTGGAACAAAGTAGATACCTAACAAGTATTTGCTGAATGTTTATCTGACTCCCAAAAAAAGTCACTTTCATTCTCCCCTGACCTGGCTCAGCTTTGCTTATTATTAAATCCCTTTCTCCTCTGTGGCTGAAGGTAGTATTGGCTGGTGAGAAAGGTTTTTTTATCAGTTGACTTTTAATTTTCTAAAGTAAATTGTGATGTTGACATCAGCAGAAATTGTTGGTAGAAGACTGATTTTAGAAGTCAAGTAAGATAAAATTTGCATTTAAGTTCAGAATCTGATGATACAATGGTTATTTCCATTTTAATGCGATCTGATTGGCTAACTTATTCTTGGCATTTTGTCTTTGCAGTAGGCAACCATGGTTATGATAATGCATTAGCAGAAATGCACCCAATCTTCTTAGCCCACGGGCCTGCCTTCAAAAAAAATTTCAGCAAAGAAGCCATGAACTCCACCGATCTGTACCCACTTCTCTGCCACCTCCTCAATATCACTGCCATGCCACACAATGGATCATTCAGGAATGTCCAGGATCTGCTCAGTTCAACAACTCCAAGAGCAATTCCTTACCCGCAGAGCACTACACTCCTCCATGGTGGCGTCAAACCAAGAGAATATGAACAAAAGGAGTCATATGCTTATTTCATAGGGGTCTCTCTCGGTAGCATTTTAGTTATTGTATTTTTTATGATCCTCGTTAAGCATTTAATTCGCAGTCAGATCCCTGCCTTACCAGATATGCAGGCTGAAATAGTTCAACCATTGTTGCAGGCCTAATGCTTCCTTGAAGTGGAGATTGTATAATTATGTCAGTATTTAGAGGTTTCAGATTCTAGGAAACCGGTTTCTGATGTTTGCACAGACCATTAGGCAGTTGCATACATACACAGGCACAGTGACATACACACACACGGGTGGACCAAAATATACATATTTGCAGAGGATTAACTATGTGGAAATGTGTTTGTGTTGTTCTTTCTAGTTTAGGGTAGATAAGTTCCTGCCATATTTGGACTTGGCACGTATAATGTACATATTTAGCAACTTTGCACCACTCAAAGTATCTTACGTATTGCACTTTAAATTATGCTTCTGGTAAGTACTTTTATGTACTTTATTGACAGTTATGTCTTATAACTTGGTTGAAAAAGACAACCTTCTATATCCATGTCACAGAATCCTTGCTACCTATTCTTTGAACTGAATGAAATTTCTAATAATTCCTAAATAATGTAGAAGTCTATCTCAAATTGGGAGAGCAAGAAGAAAGAACTGTTGAAAATTAAACATGACATCCTTTGAACATTGAATTTCAGAGAGATGCATTCCTGACAGAATGATACATCTGGCATTCCTTGTCAGGTTTCTTTTTAAAGGTCATGTCTTTTCATTTTATATTTCAAAATAGATTGAAATACAGGTTAATTCTAACCATGTTTTTTCTGTCATAAAATTCATTATTGCTACTTCCTGGTAAGTTATTTTACTCTGATTTTTGTAATCATGAAGACATCATGAATATGCATTTCTTTCCTATGTAATCTAGCACTGATCTGAACAGAAGAGATTGGGCACCATCTCAGCAGTGTTTTCTCTTATATAATATAGCTTCTTTGAAAACTAAATCACTGTTGCATTAAAAATCTAATTAGGTAAAATAATGTTTGTTTTCTTTCTGGTAATATGCAGTAACAGAGCATAAGCCATCTTTTAGATTTGTGCATTTGAAGATAATAGAGTTGCAAGAGAGCAGACTATTGGGGAAAATGTAGGCCGCCCAGTTCTTGAAAAGAGCTGTGTGGAGCGTGGGGGAAAGGGAATTAGGCCAATCGCGTTAGGTGCACGCAGTACCCAGAGCAGTGCTAAAAGAGTTCCTGATGGCAAAAGCTAGAAGTAACTCTTAGAGGTAACAGGTACTGAAACGAGAGCTGAGCTTGTACCCTTGTTACATGAAGTATTTGTTCACTCACCAAGTACTCAGTGCAATCAAAGGTGAATTCAAGTTCACAAAGAGACTACCTCCTGGATGGTTTTTTCATCCACTTCGTCATTGCTTCTCTCATTCTAGCCACCTAAAGCTGCGCTTAGATCCCCAGTAGGTTGGGGAAAGGGCAGTGTTACCTATGTGTTTTAGAGGAAAGAACACCCTGGAAAGAATAGCTTTCCTTATAGAAAAAAGAAACCAGTTTAGAGAGGCATGCCCAACAGGTAATGCTATGATTTGGTGCATTTTTATGTGCCAGCTGGCCAATAAGTTGGTAAAATCGTACATGAATTCTAGAAATAAAGGATAAATGAGATGTAAAGTGTGTCATTAAACTTAAGTACTTGCAAAATGAAGGTGTATGAGTCATTTTTTTAAGTGATAATACCAATAAGCATTAGCACCTGATTCTTGTTATACAACTTCCTAATAGGGTAGAATAGGGTCATTGGAAACATACTGTAGATTAAAAAGCTGAAAGTTAGATGGTAGATAGCAAACTCCTCAAGATGTCTGACCTCTGGATAACACATTTTAGAATACGTAGCCACTTATACTGGATTGCACTGTAACTCATTTGTATTACTGAGATGCCAATACGACTGAAAGATGAAATTGGTCTATTTAAAAGGATCACTACTCAAACTAATTGTTGCATTAAATTCATTTTGGAAGTTTCTATTAAGAAAAATTTTCTAATGATGAAATTGCTACCAGCCGAGATGCCGTTTTTCTCAGAATTGTGTCTTGGAGGCAATGAAGAATGAAGGCAGCAGACGAGTTTGGAGCAACCAGTAAAGTGTTTAAATGAGAAGTGAGGAGGAGAGAGAAGGACTCCCTCTAACCAGGAGGGGCTCCAAGAGAGGACATGTTAGGGCTGCAATACTGGGTGCAAGTGGCTGGGAGTTGTTGCTATGGCCAAGCTAAGATCAAAGGGAAGAGAAAAACTCCCCTTTCAGGCTAATTTTCCCAAATGTCCAGGATGAGGCTTCTTATTGACCATGACCTTACCGGGGCCCTGAGCTCTATCTGCCTGTGTCCCACTTAACACCTGCCTCAAAATTAAAGTTCTGATAGGAAGATCTGAGTATTGAATGGTTTCTTCTACTTACAGATACATAACTTCTGTAAAATAGGAGAGTTTTAAACTTTGCTGGGAAAATCTGGTCATTCATATCCTTGGATAGCTTTCTTGTTGCTTTGTTTTACCTGCATGTATTCATCGTCAAGCTGCATGCAGTGAACACAGAAAAACAATTTAGACTCCCTAATCTTACTAATTATAAGAATTTTAAAAGGTCAGAGGAATGGAGTTCCCCTAACCCTGCTATTTTTTCTCAACATCCTCCATCAACTAAGTTGTATAAGTTTTGTGCAAACTTGATAAGATTTATTCGATGTATGTTTTGAATTTGTACTTCCTTTGCCACCTAACATTTAAGATTGCTTTTCAAAATATTTTATGACCTTCTAAGGTAAAACTAGGATCTTGTTATTAATCTATTGTTTACAGAAAAATCTAATAAAGATCTAGCTCTTCTAGTTCTCAGATGTTTTCAGCTACTCATTAAGGGGGACAAACTTGAGAATCAGAGTCAGGAGAGATCTAAGGGACCATTCATCCCCGTGATTTAGCAAGGGCCCTTGAAAGCTGTGAGGTGACTTGGTGTGACATCAGTGCCAGTGGAAGCAGGACCAGATATCCTGATGTAATCTGGGGGTAAGGACTTGAACATAATGAGTTCTGAGGGGACACAATTCAGTCTGTAGCAGAGGATGCAGAACAAAAAAGCTAGGAAAATGAGAAGCTGAACAAGAAAATGCATTTATATCTGCAACTTGATAATACTCTGTTGTCTTCCTTCAGGGTTGTTACTGAGAAGTCTTAAGCCAGTTTATGTGGTACCTCTCTTTTCTCAGACCCAATGCCATAGGGATTGAGCCACACAACTCTGGGTCGGGCAGGAAGGGGTAAATATAGTCAGGTTGCATCTGGGAAGTTAGTTGAAGCCACGAAACTACAGTTAAGTTGTGGGCTGTGTAGATTTGAAGTGATATACAGAGATGTCTAAGACACCCACACGTGTACGGATTCTTGATTTTAACAGATGTCATCAATTCTGTTCCCGTTTGTCCTTGTGTCAATAGCATACTGTGTTAAGTACTATAACTTTATGATAGTTCCTCGACATCCAATAGAGTAAGGTCTGCCATTTTATTTTTTTCAAGATTGTCTTGGTCCTTTGCATTTCTACATAGATCTTAGTCAGCTTATACAAGTCTATACTAAAGTAAAACCCTGTGAGAATTGCTTGGATGCCGGGATCAAATTGAGAATTGCCATCTTTACAATACTGAGTCATCCAATCTTAAATACATTATAGTGTTCTGTTATTTTGGTTTTCCGGAATTCCTCTCAATGTTATAATTTCCTGTCCAAAAATTCTGCATATATTTTGTTAAACTTCTTCCCACTTAAGCTTGTTAATACCACTATAATTGACACCAGTTTAAATTTTCATTTTGTTTTCTGCTGATAGAGAAGTAATTTTTGTGTATTGACTTTATATCCAACAATTTTGTGAAGCCCACTTATACTTTATGGATTCCTTTGGATTTTCTATGTATGCAGTCATGTCATTTGTGAATAGGACAGTTTTGTGACTTTTCAATTCTTACTTCTTTTTGTTGCCTTGTACTCGTTAGGGACCTCAGGACAATGCTACCTGGAAGTGATGAGAGGACATCCTTGCCTTGCTCCTGATTTTAGAGAAAAACATTAAGTATTTCACCACTCAGTATATTACCTGTAGGCTTATGATATTGTGATTAAGTATGATATTAACTATAGGTTTTTGGCATATATATACATAAATAAAGACTATCAGCCCAAGTTACCTTCTGTTCCAAAATTGGTGAGCTGTTTTGTTTTGAATAATAAATGCTGAATTTTGCCAAATGCTTTTATCAGGTTTATTGACATCTTTTTTTCCCTATTAATATGGAGGGTGACATTGATTTTCAAATATCAACTAATATTGTCTGCTGGAATAAATTCCACTTTTTTATGTGTATTAACCTTTTGCAGTACTGCCAAATTTAAATAATGTTTTGTCCAGGAATTTTGCTCATAGGGATATTGATTTATAATTTTAGTTTCATATCTTTGTCAGATTTTGGTACCAGGATAATGCTGGTCTCAAAAAACTAGTTATTTTCCCTTTTCCTCTATGTTCTGTGTGAGTTTGTGTAAAGTCATTTCTTAAATGTCATAGGATTAATAAGTGAAACCACCTGTACTTGGAGTTTTCTTTGTGGGGATGTCTTTTGATAACATATTAATTTTTGTCATACAAGGCTATTATGATTTACTATTTGAAAATGTATCAATTTTGGTAAATTGCATTCTTAAGGAATTTGTCCATTATATCTAAATTGTGAGTTGTATTGGCATAATCCCTTAATCCTTTTGAAATATGTAGGATCTGTAGTGATGACCCCTGATTTATTACTGATACTGCTAATTTGTGCTATCTCCCTTTTTTTCTTAGTCAATCTTGCTAGGGGGTTATAAATGTTACTAATATTTAGAAAACTAAATTTTGCCTTTATTAACATTCTCTATTTATCTTTTCTATTTCATTGATTTTATCTTTAATTTCTTCCCTTCCACTCACTTTGGATTATTTTCTTCATCTTTTACTAGCTTCTAAAGTGGAAACTTAAATCACTGATGTTTGAATTTTCCCCTCAAAGGCAGACATTGAGTTGTAAGTTTCCCTCAAATTAGTGCTTTAGTTGCATACTCTATAAAGTTGATGTTATAAATTCATTATTATTCAGTAAAATATATTTTCTCATTTGTCTTAGGATTTCTATCAGAAGGGTATTGTTCAATTTCTAAATATTTAAGGTTTTTCTAGACATTTTTGTTACTGAATCTAACTTAATTTCATTGTGGTCAGAAAATACTTTGTAATACTGCAATCCTTTGAGATTATTTTCTGAGACTTTTTTTATGGACCTGCATATGATCTATCTTACTGATAATTCCACTTGAAAAGAATATGTCTTCTGCAGTTTGGGGCCATAATCTTCTCTAAATGGCATTGAAGTTAATGTAGTTGATATCTTTATTTGGATGTTGAATATCCTTGCCGATTTTTTATCTTGGTCTAGTAGTTACATCAATTACTTTAAGAGAGGGGTGCAAAATTCTTGTTTTGGATTCTCTTTCTTTAGTTTCATTGCTTTTTGATTCACAAACAAAATTTAAAGCTCTGTTTTTAGGTGTGAACATTTAGAATTACTGCCTTCCTGATATATCAGTCCCTCTCAGTGTCTGGAAATACTTGTCTTGAAGATTGCTTTATTTGATATAATATAGTTTCTCCAGCTTTCTTACAGTTAGTTTGCATGGTATTTCATTTTCTATCCTTTTGCTTTTACTTTCCCTTTGAATTGTGTCTCTTGACTGTTTGTGGCTGGATCTTGCTTTTTAACCTAATGTGATGTAATCTGCCATTTAATTGGAATGTTCAGTCTGTTTACATCTAGTTATTGATGTGTTTTGATTTTATTAGCCATTTTGCTTTTTCCCGCCCTCATTTGAGATAAGTTTATAGCTCTTGATTTTTGGTGCTATCTTTACCAGGTTTGATACCAATGTTACATTCACTTCAAAAATTCATGTATTTTTTTTTAACACTAGTTTTATGAGGCAAATACAACATTAATAATTAAACCTGATAAAGAGGCACTAAAAAATACCAAATCTTTTGGGGCTGGTACTTATTTGTATAATAGATTTTAACTTTCCCAGTCTTTCATACAGAAATCATTCTGTTCTAGTATTCTTTCTCTACTGGAGTCAGTTTCGTCTAATTGTTCCTAGAAAGGTACTCGTTTAATCTGTATTTTCAAACTCATTTGTGCCAAATTGTGTAAAATAGGCTATTAGGATTTTTTAGTGTTATGCTTCTCTTTGTGGGTTTTTAACACCTTTTTTTCCCCTCCTCCCATCCCACTGGGTTTTTTTCTAAATTAGATTTTCAGCCTCTTAGCTGCCTCTTCCAAATTCACAGATGCTGTTAGGGGCTCAATTCTATAGATTTCTTCTTCTGAATCTTGGCCTCTTGATTCTTCACTTTCTTACTTCTCAATGCCTTAGCACAGATCTTTTGTGTCCAGTTTTCCTTGTCCTCAGCAAAAGGATTGGTTTGAATTACAGTCTACCATTACTGGAAACAGAACTCCATGCCCTTTTATGATTTAAAGAGAAAAAAACCAAATAGAGCCCTTACAGATATTTTGTGTAAATAGCATGTTCACTGCCTTCAGTGGACAATTCAA